TTGCTGGAAATGTGCTCTCCCTGTCCCTGCACCCCTTGTGCCAGCCCCAGTTACCCCTGAATCCCGTGCCCATGTCCCTCCCTGTCCCTCTCCATGGATGAGCATCCCTCTCCTGGCAGAACCGCTCTCCTTCCAAATGACCCTTTGCAGTCCCTCCTGCCTTGAGAGAGACACTTGAAAACAGATTAAGAGCCAAGATTATTGCTCAAATTGAATTCTGCCTTGTCGAGAAAATGAATTTTACCTCCCAAACGCAGCGTTCCAGAAAAATACCTTCCCAGCACCTCCAGCCTCTCATTAGTGACTCCCCATGTGGAATTCCTGAAGAGAGGATATTCCTGGCCTTTTATTTATCCAGGAAAAATCAGATCCCACCTCTCTGGAGCAGCCTCCCAGCTGAGGCACAGCCCTGCATGGTCAGGGTCTGACACACGTCAGGGCCTCACTACCAGCAAGGACAAATAATCAGGGGCTGCTGAAATGAAAGCTCATTAAAGAACACAAAAACTCCTTTTTATTGAGAGGAGGCAAAGAATTAAAGGTTGCTGTTTCCTATTTTCAGCTTTTTGTTACATTCTCTGTGTAGGAAACCAAAAAATGTGGAGTTTCCTGAAATATCTTCTCTAAAATGAATCATTACTCCACTGCCTAAGAAGTGTTGTCCTGTTTGAAGTGAGGAGAGGAAAATGCAACAATCAGGTCAGGATTAATAAATTAGCATCCAGGTAAAAACCCTGCTGAAATGTGGGAGTTTTCCTCCCAAGCCCCAGTGGGATCCCAGGTACATTCCAGCAATGAAACCTCCCCAGCATCTCATCAGGGCAGGGTCAGCAGGAGGGGCTCAAACGTGGGCTGGGAATGGAAATTATCTCCCATGGAATGGGATCCCACATTCCTGCAAGAAACTTGAACTAAGAGATGGAGGAACAACCATTGCAGACATTTTCCTGGGAATCACAAGGAGTTTCTAGACACTGATCAGATCAGCAATATGGAATTCATCAGAAAGCAAACACTTCTGAGGGATCTGATGGAACCATGGGATCACAGATGGTTCTGTAATTCTCACACAGCCCTGCCCTTCCTCCCTGTGCCTGAGGAGCACTCCCAGCAGGAGCAGGATCCAGAGCTCCCCTCGCTCCCTGGAGCAGCTGAACGCCATCCCAATCCCATCCCAATCCCATCCCAATCCCAACCCAATCCATCCCATCCCATCCCATCCCCAGCCCGACAGCCTCCCCCAGAGAGCCTGGCAACAGCGTGTGCATTTTGCAAGAAAAGAGCAGCATCCAACTCAGAGCTGCACTTTTAAGCTCCCTTCCTTTCCAAATAATCTCATTTTTGTGATTACTGTGTCTGGAGCAGAAGGCAGGACTGCAACTGTCATCTTCCTCCTTCGGCAGGAAGGAAAGGCAGCCAACACCCCCAGGGAGATCAGGGATGTTCCAATTTGCACTCCCAGCCTCCCTGCACTGCCTTAGCCCACTCTGCTGCACAGTTCCCGGGAGGGGCTCGGGAACAGCCCCCTCTGGGCCACCAGAGCCACCCCTGATGAAACCCCACGGGGATTTAGACAAGAACAAAATTATTCTTGATTGACTCTTCCAAATTGCATCCACCGAGGACACAAACCTGAAGCAGTAATTTGCTCATTATGAAAATCTGTCAGGAGAAGTTTGCAGGGAGCACAAAAATAAGTGCAGGGAGCACAAAAATAAGTCTTGCAGCATTAAAAGAGGAGTCAGGGTGCTGATATTCCCCATATTGCATGGTTCTACTCCTATGAAGCACCCTGACCATGGTTTTATCATGGGGTTCCATTTGTAGGGAAAGCTACAGCCCTGCAAAGGGACAGCATTTTCTCCAAAGCAAAACCAGCAGCCTAAAAGCATCCTGCCTGAACTCCCTGGTGCATTTGGAAGCAGCATTCCAAATTATTTTGCTGTTATTTTTAGGAGAGATATTTAATTTATGACCGGGCTGCTATTTACTGGTGCGCACTGATAGAATTGTGTTGGGAAGACGCCCCTGCCTTTGACACACGTCCTAGGGAGCCAGCAGGAGCAGTGACCAGCCCCAAGTCTCATTTGGCCCCATCAGCACCAGCCCCTCAGCTGGGTTCCAGCAGCGCCCTGTGCCTGCCCCATCCCTGGAGAACCTCCCACCCCAGCCATTCCAGGCTCTTTTACCCGAGGAGCAGCTCAGGGCTGGGTGAGGGCAGAGCTGCAGAGCAGGGCAGGGGCTGATCACAGCAAACCCCCAGTGCCATGGGGTCCCCCCATCGTTCCCCACCCCAGGAAAGCTCCCCCAAAGCTCCCCCAGCAGTACCTGCAGGGATGAGCTGCAGCCCCAGGAGCCCGGCCCTGGCCCTCCTGCTGCTGCACCTGTTGGCTTTGGCCGAGGCTGCTCGCAGCCCCTGCGCCGGGAGGGAGCTGCAGGCACAGCCAGCACTGCCTCCCATGCAGAGAGGAAGATGAAGAGCCTGCACGGACCTGGCCCCTCCTGGGGAGAAGCGCCTGGAGCAGCAGGAGCTGCCTGAGGAAGCCCTGCTGTGCTCTGGATGGGTTATGTATTTCTATAGATACAGATTTACACCCATTTGCTCCCTACAGCAAGCACAGCACGAATACTTCTCTCCCAAGATATTGTCAGAGAGGCACAAACTCCATTAGGATTTCTTTGCAGGGGCCTCCACAGAACCTTTACCTACCAGATGTGAGGGAAAAGCCAGTTTGGGCATGCAAATAAGCGTTCAAGAGCCATCCACCCTCCCCTCACCCACTGCCCCAGGCAGCAAAACCGACGGTGACCCCTGAGAAACAAGCTGGCTGCCACACTCAGCAATTTCAGAGAGTTCTGAGGTTAACAAGATTTTTTGTGACTGGTACTTGGTTTTCTTCTTTCCGCTAACTTAGAGCTTCTCATCCACCCACACACAATGACACTTAGCTGTTGAACAGGTCTACTTCTCCTCCTAAAATAGTTATTTTCTATTTCTCTGTGGCTGAGCATGTTCTAAATTGTGTTTTGAAGGAGGAGAGGACAACAGGGAACAGTTTTACAGCATGAAAGATCTGCTTCAAGGCGGCTCATCCAAGCTGTAAAATAGATATTCAGTAAATTCCCTCAGCATGGGCCAGTTCCTGCTTTCTGGATGATCTGGTTAAATTGCAGTTTTGAACAGATGCTTAGTCACAATACATTAAAACATTTAGTTTATATAAATATCTCTACATGGAGAAACTGTCCAAATATCTTATTTTCTGACAAGTAACGTATCACCAGAGGCTTTGCAGGTATTGTGGCATTATCCTAAGGGTGCCTCGGTTTCCCTCAGAATGGATGTCGGTGGGATGGGAGCTGGAGTGGCAGAGCTGCCTCCTCCACGCTCCTGGCAGCGGCTGAACCCGGGCTCGGGCACAACGTGAGCCGGGCACAACGTGAACCGGGCACAGGGGGCTCCGGGCTCACGGGAACCGGGCTCGGGTGGCTCCGGGCACAAGGCGAGCCGGGCTCAGGCGGATCCGGGCACAGGGGAGCGGGAGGAGCCGGAGCGGGAGGCACGGCACGGTGAGGGCACACAGACCCGGGGATCCAGCGCTGAACTGCAGCCATGCGCTGCCATCCGCCACGATGGAGCGAGCACGGAAAAGCAGCGGCTCGCGGGTGTGATATCACGAAATAAATATGGCAGGGAAATGCCCGGGCACGGCTCAGGGCAGCATCGCCCCGCTGGGCTCGGCCGGGGACGGATGGCACCGGCAGCAGATGGGAGCGGGAGGCTCGGCGGCTGCTACAGCACCGAGCGCCTCTGCCGTGAAAGCCTCACAAGTTTCCAGCTGGGAAACGCGGGGGATCTCTCCGCCCGCTGCACAAAAATAAAAAAATCCCTCCACCACCTTCCGCATGCGAAGGCGTAGGACAGGGAGCGAAGAACTCCGCTGCTCACGATGCATCTGGTGGCGCTTCTGTCACTGTCACCGCACCCGCGATCGCTGCCGAGCAGCACCCGGCGCTCGCTTGGGGCCCGGCGGCTGCTGCGGGGCCCCGGGGGGACACCTCGGTCCCAGGGGGACACCCCCTCATCCCGGGGGGACATCCCGGTCCCGAGGGGACACCTCAGCCTCGGGGGGACATCCCAGCCTCAGGGGAACACCCCCACATCCCAGAGGGACATCCCCTCATGCCGGGGGGACACCCCAGCCCTGGAGGGACACCCCCTCATTCCGGGGGATCCAACCCCGGCCAGAGCCGGCCAGATGGCCCCGCACGGCCCTGGGGCAGGAGAAGAGCGGGGGTGACGAATCTCCGTGCCCGACACCCAGCGAGGCGCGGCGCCGGGGGCGAGACGGGCGCGATGGCAGCGCGAACGGGGGAGAGGCGAGGAGGGGGAGAGCGGGCAGCGCTGCAGCGCATCTCCCCCGCACACACACACGGCTCTGTAATCCCCCGGCTCTGCTCATCCTTCGCTCCTCCCGAGCCCCGGAGCCCGGCGCTGAGCCGCCCCCGCTGCCCCCGCTCCGGGCTCGGGAGGGAGCCGGCACCGAGCCGGGCAGGCGCTGGGCGCTGGGGCTGCCCCCACAGCCCCGGCTCGGCCGAGAAAGCCCCTCCTGACCCCCTGCCCACCCTGTCCCGACCCCCCGCGACCCTCGGGCCGTGCCCGCACCGCCGGCATTCCGTGCGGGAGCGGAGCGGAGCCGGCCGTGCCCCCCGGGATCCGTGCGCCCGCATCCATCCCCGCCGAGCCGTGGCTCTCGCTAACGCAAACCCAGCGCAACCAGCGCCTCTTCTCTTCCTTTTTTTTTTTTTTTTTTCGTTTCCTCTTTTCCCTCAGGCATTGCTTCGTGCAAATGGGGCGATAAATCCAGAAAGCGCCACGCACCGTGGAGAAGGGAGAGGGCGGCGGGGAGGGGAAGCAGCTGCTCCGGAGGGAGGCGGATGGAGCACCTGGAGAGGCACAGGGGAGGCGGGAGCGGCGGAGCCCCGCGGCACGGCCCTACCTGGAACAGCCGGAGGATGTTGGCCACCATAATGGACACGGAACTTCCCGACGCCCCGATCACTCCAACTACTTTCTCCGGCTTGACGAAGACGGGCGGCTCGCCGTTGGTGCACCTCACGTCGGAGGTGTCCTTCTGGATGAGCGCCTGCACGAAGGTGAGGGACTGCTCCAGCGCGTAGGTGTCCCGGGAGCAGGTGTCCAGGATGCGGGCGCCCAGCGTGACGTTGGGCAGCAGGTCCGGGTCGCTGTTGATCTGGTCCAGGGCGTAGAGCATCGCCTCCAGCCTGTGGATGCCGTTCTCCTTCTTGATGTCCCCGCAGGGGGAGCTCGGGGGGCCGGGGCCCTTGGCGTGCACGGGGAAGAGGCCGCCCAGGGTGATGTCCCCCTCCAGGCGGATGGAGTGGGGCGCGTACATCTCCTGCCCGCGGGCCGCCTCCCCGAGCAGCAGCTCCAGCAGGCAGCAGGGCAGCTCCAGCAGCGCCAGCAGCCGCAGCACCCTGCCCGGCCGGCCCATGGTGATGCCGCCGCCGCCCCCGGGCGCTGCCCCGCGCTCCCCGGGGGCCGGGCCGGCCGGGATGGGGTGGCCGGGGGAGGGCTGCGGGTTCGGCCGCCCTGCCCTGCCCTGCCCTGCCCGCCGCGCTCCGGCACCGGCACTGGGAGCGCGCCGCGCCGCTGCCGCTTTAAACCGGCCCGGCCGCCCGCCCCCCGCCCGCCCCCCGCCCCGCCCGCCGCCGCTGCGCAGCGCCCGCCGCACCGCCCCGGCCGGCCGCGGGCACGGGCACCGGCGTGGGCATCGGCACGGGCACCGGCGTGGGCATCAGCGTGGGCATCAGTGTGGGCATCGGCACGGGCACGGGCACGGCACGGGCATCGGCATGGGCATGGGCATCGCAATGGGCACGGGCTCGCGACGGGCACGGGGATGGAGCCGCGGGGTCCCGGCTCTGCCCGAGATGGGGCTGGCGGCCGTACCGGAGCCGCGGCGCTGCGGACGGGGCAAGCGGGGGAACGAGGCGGCTCCGCACCCGCACCCCGCTCCTCTTACCCCGCTCCCCGCAGCCGGAAGCGGAGCGGGCTCGGGCAGCGCGGCTCGGGAGCGCCCGCCAAAGGCGCCGCGCGGGGGATGCTCGCTCGGCCCCGCCGGAGCAGCGGCAGCGGCAGCAGCAGCCTCATCCTCCGCCTCGCTCTCCGGCGGGGAGCGCAGCGCCGCGGGGCCCGGCAGGGCCGCCGGGGACAGCCGGGGACAGCGGGAGCGCCCGGGCAGCCCAGGGCATCCAGAGCATCGATCCGGATTGTGCCATGGGAACCGGAGCCTCCGCCCGCCGAGGTGGGTACCAATGGAGCGGTGAGGAGGAGGAGGAGTTTGGATGTAACCCCGTACTCCCAAACCCGAAGAAATGCAGCTGAGCTCGTTCTATTTTAAGATCTCCAGACCCATTTTTCTTCTGCACGCCCAGATCTCGAGGATGATGGAACATCCTGGTTTTGTTCCCTTTACTCCAAAACTCTGACACCCCAAGGGACACCACCACCTGTTGCCATTCCCTCCTGACCAGCAAATCCACGTCCTGGCACATTCCTAATCACAGCCAATGCAGAATGCATCTCTCACATGCTCCCACCAGACCAAGCACATTTTTCGGAGGCAAACTTTAATTTCTCCTTCATAAATACCAGACCAGGGGTAGCTGCTGTTCATCCCATGGCCTCTGACACACTCTGGGCCAGCAGATCCCGTGTGCAGGAACCTGCCCAGTCACAGGATCACAGAGTGGTTTGCATTGGGAGAGACCTTCGTGATTGTCCCATCCCACCCCTGCCATGGCAGGGACACCTGCCACTGTCCCAGGTGCTCCAGCCCCAGTGTCCAGCCTGGCCTTGGGCACTGCCAGGGATCCAGGGGCAGCCACAGCTGCTCTGGGCACCCTGTGCCAGGGCCTCACCTCTCTCAGATCACCCACACATCTTAGAAAAGTGCCTCCCTTTACACTGCCAACAACAGAATGGGTGGGGTTGGAAGGGAGCTGGAGGACCACCCAGTTCCTCAGAGATTTTCTGTAGTGCTGTCAGACTCCCACCCTCTCTGCCAGGGGGTGGAGCTGAACCAGCCCCATCCCCATCCCTTGCACACACATCCCAACTCCTCACATCACCTACTGCACATGGGATTTCCTTCCCAGTTCTCCCTTGTTCCCACCAGCTTCATCCCCTTTTGCATCTCCACCCAGGGAGAGCTCTTTGGTGCCTGTTTACCTCTTGCTCACTTTAAGCTCCTCAGTCAGAATCTTGCTTCTTCTTCTTCTTCTCATTCTTATTCTTATTCTTATTCTTATTCTTATTCTTATTCTTATTCTTTCTGAGTCTTGTGATTGGACCCTCAAGTTTTCCTCGAGTGCTCAGTTCAGGAAGGATGTAAAAATAAATAAATCACTTCTTCTAATAAATCCCATTGTTTTGCTGCAAGTCACCTCATGATTTTGAAAGATGCAGCAGATGCACCAGAAGAAAATGACAGTTTTACAGTATGCAGATATCTTTATTCTCCTCCTGATTTTATTGGTTGGAGCCCTGAAGCATCAAAGATTATTCTGATTACATTACACAAATTGATAGAGCAATCACTGCTCCGGATCCTCCTGATATCCATGAGAGTGCCCAGTCTCTCTCCCACTCTTTCTCAGCTAACAAGGACCACTGGGCATCTCCTGGAAACCCTGTTTGTCGCTTTGCAGTTTCCTGCCTTTGGAGCTGAGCTCTCCTTCTTCTTATACCTGAGCCCCATCCCCTCTGCTCTGAGCTACCCACACCCAATCTGGCCCTCTCAGACAGGAAACTAAATATAATAACAGCCTGTGCATCTCTCACTGCTGTGCTTTCCTTGGGAGGAATGCCAGCCTCAGAGCTGAAAGGCCTTTTCCAACCAACAGACTCTGTCATGCTGCGATTGCCTTGGCCTTGCTGAGCACCTGGGGCGAGGCAGCGCTGACTAAACCCAGCAGAGAGTGTGTCACACCTGTGCTGAGCAACATCCCCTGTGCCACTGCACCTAAAGGATCCCTCCCCTCCCCTGAGCCCACCTCGAGGGCCACTGGCACCATAGGACACAAAGGAACACACCGCTGCTCTCAAGGTGAAGGAAAAAGGGAAGTTTATTTTCTGACTCCAACATTTATAGATTTGCAAAAGTGACAGTGGATTGGAGGGTGACAGTGCCACCTCTCCAATGACACTGGTCAAACTAACAGTCCATCAAATTTCTCTTCTTCCATAAAAGGATGCAAAACAATGAGTTATTTACAGAAGGTGTGTGAGAAAGTTCGCTACAAAGAATGTCAACATCAGAAGGCTTAGAAAATCTTAAAAAATCAGGGGGACAGACCACAGTCAGCATTCAGCACTCAGAGCATCCAGCACTCAGAACATTCCACACTCAGAGGCACTCTCAGCAGTTCCTGAGCAGAACCGAGTCATGGCCATTCCCCCTCTCGGAGCCATGAGTGTTTCCCCTTACCCTCAATCCCAGGAAAGCTGCAGGTAATCCTCGAGGGCTCAGGAGGGGATGCTGGTGCAGGAAAGCAGCCCTTTATGTCTTTAATGGGGCACTGGCAGGAGCAAATGGAAATGGGGGAAGTCACTGCAGTGTGAGTTTGTGTTTCACTTCCCTGAGTCCCTCGTGTGCCCAGCCCAGCTCCCAGCACAGCTCTGAGCTCCCAGACCCTGAACACGTTCTGTACTTCAGCCTTGGGAGCTCTGCCCTCACCCCTGCTCAGGCTGAGAGCCTGGGGTGAGGGTGAAGCAATTCTGCTTTTCTCAGCAGGGAATGGCACACCAGGGAGCTCAGCACTGGTCTGATGCCCTGCTGCCCCTCCAGGTGTGCCCAGGCACCCAGAACCAAAACCCCACCCCAAACCAAAACCCCACCTCCCATTCCTGAGCCTTTGCAGTGCTGGGGACACACTCCATCTCCCCCTGGGGAGATTTGCTTCACCAAACACAAAAACCCAAAAACCGCAGAACAAACCAAAAATTCCCCAGAAAAATAAACCAAACCAAATAAACCCAACCCAAGCCTGATCTTTCTAGCAAGAGAATTTGTTTAGAAGTAAACACTGGTTAAACACATCCAAGAGAATATTCAAAACCATTTCTTAGCTTGCCTGTCAAATAAGATTCAGCCAAATTTCTCCTGGATAAGCAAAGACTTTGCCAGAAAGGAAGGGGCTCATTTCTGGCACCCTCCAGGGTGTGATGTGATCTCCATCAAGGAGGATCCACTGTCAGAGCTGCTGTATAATTAAACATTGCCTTTTTCTGGGCAGCTGGCAGAGCAGACACTAAATCCCATCACAGCCAACCGGTGGAAGCAGCCCAAAGAGCGATGGGCCAGCAGGAAGGGGGAATAAAACAATCCTTCAAATATTGGTGATGTGGCAGAGGCTGCCACGCAGGCAGAGGTCAGCCTGGACAACTGTAATGGACGTGGTACAAGCAATTAATTTGTTGGGTGAAGTCAGGCTCGGGAAAGCAGCCAGAGCTCCTGCTTATCTGCTGCTCAGAAAATAATGGATTTCTGGAGCAGAGGCCAGTGAAAAGCTCAGATCCTTAACTCGGGCTTTGTTGCTGCTGTTTACAAAGAGAAGGTGTCAGTGAGGCTCTGGTTTCCAGGGAGGACAGGGGACAGCAAATTCTCCTCAAGGATATGGTCGCTTAGATACCTCCCTGGATCCTTATTTATGTAAGGGAAACATTACTTTTACAATTGTAGCTTATTGAATTATAAAATATTAAAATATATTAAAATTATAAATAGATTGTAATTTATAAAAGATATGAAGTTATTAAATCTACAAGACATTATGGATTGTTTCCAGGACAAAACTGCAACGAACAGGTTGTGCTAAATGGACTCTCTAGGCCTGATTCTCTGCTGCAGCACTGGTGTGACCCTGTGGAAAAGGAAACAGCTCTGAGAGCCAAGCTCAGCCATCCTTGGGTGCTCTCTGGGGCCCTGAGCATCACACACTGAGTTATCTTCCATCTGAAAATAACCCATCTCCCAGGGGCCCTGTGCCTCCTGTGCCCAGGGAGCAACAGGAGGAGGAGGAGGAGGCCAAGCTGGTGACATCCAGGCTGGACCTGGCAGTGCCAGGCTCACCCTGGGTTGGAGATCTGAGGGTGGATCTCAATGACTTTGTGCAGGACGTGGTTAAAGGGTCCTGGAGCAGGGATCAGGGAAGGAGCAGAAGGGCAGGAGAGGAAGGCCCTGCACCTACCAGGAGCTTTTGGGTGGTCTTGCACCCAAAAATTGCTGCACTGTGCAGCAGTTCCCCTTTCAGAACGCGAGCTCAGTGCCCCGGGGACGCGAGGCTGGTGGCATTTCCCAGCGCCCAGGGGAAGCTCCCCCGGTGCAGCCCCATCCATCCCTGCCCAGCCCCGAGAGCCGTGCAGCCCTTCCCCAGGAACGGATCAATCAATTGCACAGGAGACACCTTCCAAGTGCTCCTTGGAGATCACAAATCTGCCAAGCAGGCAGCTCTATTAGA